AAACCCCGAGTACCGAGACAATAGGGGTTCTCACTAGAAATGTTATCAGTTTAGCATTTCTAGAGATTGAGCACAATGAAAGAAAGAAAGTAGTGAAAGAACTAGTGAAACAGGAGGTACAGGGGACAGGGCAAATACTGTGAATGAAGTTGTATGTGACTTTGTTTTACTAAAGAAAACCACAGGGGGCTGGCCCTTGCTTCTCTCTTTAGGCTCAGGACATTCCATACTCCCCTTGTTTACTATGTTTTAGCCAGACTGACATTTCTGTTCCTCAAAGGTGATGACCTTCACCTCACCCCAGGGCCTTTAGCCTATTTCTTTTCCTTACACTTCCCTTTCTCCTGACACATTAAATTCACTTGTACTTGTAGACTAAAATGATCACCTTGGAAAGCCCTATACTTATTTATTGATACTATTCTGCGTAAACCATTTCCAGACTTATCTTTAGAACTTATTTATGTGGCCTATCAGAAAGCCCATCTTGTAGCCCATCTTGTAGCTTGTACTCAGAATTTCTTTTTTTTTTTTTTACCTAAAGTGGTAATATAATACTGAGCATTAGACCCTACTAGGCTTTGGATGATGTTTGTCTGTTTCCAGAAACCAATTCCATCTCTAATGGTGGGAGAGGGGCAGTTGTTAAATTTCTTCAAAGAAATGAACCATGAGGGGGCACCTGGGTGGCTCAGTTGGCTAAGCGTCTGCCTTCCACTCAGGTCATGATCCCAGGGTCCTGGGATTGAGCCTCACATTGAGCTCCCTGCTTAGTGGAGAGCCCACTTCTCTGTCTCCCTCTGACTGCCACTCTGCCTACTTGTGCTCTCTCTCTATCTCTCTGTCAAATAAAAAAAATAAAACCTTTAAAAAAAAAAGAGAGAAAGAAATGAACCATAGCCCTGAAGGTGACTGAAATGTGAATCCTAGAAATGTTTTAACTATGGGGCGCCTGGATGGTTTAGTTGGTTAAGCTCAACTTGCTTGACCTTGGTTGAACTCTTGGTTTCAGCTTAGGTCATGATCTCATGGCAGTCGTCGGACTCAACCCCGCATTGGGCTCTGTGCTCCATGTGGAATCTCCTTCAGATTCTTTCTCTCTCCTCTTCTACTCCTCCCACTCACTCTCACATGCTCTCTCTCTCAAAGAAATAAATAAAATCTAAAAATATAGAGAAATGTTTTAAGCAAAAGCAGTACATCACTGAAGTGAGTACTCTTCTAATGTGATTCAGTTGAATGTTTGCATATGATTATTAGAACAGAAGTCTCATTATCTTTAATGTCACATCTGATGGACTCACTGGCGAGGTGACTTAAAAAGACCTATTTTTACTCAAATAGATGGTAAGCAAAACCAAAGTACTTGCTTTTGTAACATACATTCGTATACCACACACACACACACACACACACACACACACACACACACACCACAGAAGAATCTATGCTGGTGGGATCTGAGTTTAACTACAGAACCCAGTGAGTTCAGAATTAAATCACTTGGTTATCATATCTTCATCTCACTGACTACAAAACAAATGTGGTAATAATTCTTTAAGCGCTTAGTCACTATAGACAAGTCAAGATAATAGAATGTATCTACCTCTTGAGGAAGTAACTCTTTTGTACTCTATGAAGGTTATTTCAGTTTTAACGTCTACCACTTCCTATTAACAGAAAAAAGAAATCAAATAGAGTGATCCTGAGAAAATGAAATAGTAAAATTTTGTCTCTAATTGGGAGAATTAATAACTGGAGGAAATCAATACCAATGGAAGACATTTTAATGTTCTATTAGTTTTACATAGGTGACAAAAACAACAAAAAATGAAACAGTGGTATAATAAATGGTTCAAAAGGAATATTCATTAAGCAACATTACTAAAATGAACTGAACGTGATTTAATTTATCCAAATTACTTTTAGTATCTAACACACGGAACTGGTGCAGATGAACTTGTGTTCCGGGGGTTTATCTTCTATATGGTCATGTTTCCCCTAAATCTGGCCATAGTAATTCACACATACACTGTGGACTTTCAGTGAAGACTGATGAATAAGATGCCACGGCTTCAGCTCTTAGGATAAGGTGAGAGGGTCTGCCAGAAAAATACTCCAAAAGGAACGACATTTCTCTAAGGTCATCTGATTATCAGTTGATGTCTTGGACCCTCAAAATGAAGTCTTTTTAATTTTCTTTCTAGAAAGTATCTAAATGAACCATTATAAGCTCATTGATTTTATAATTTTCATTGGCAGCAAACTCCACATATCAACTAGACGCATACACACACAATTTTGTTTTTCCCCATTTAAAATCATCTTTAGAAAATCCTTTGAACTTTTTTTATTTGGGGGAAATAATACTGTTGTTCTTTATGAGATTTAATTAGTGGTCCTTTCTTAGTGTGCTCTCACTTTTATTCTCTTTTCCCAGAATTCTAAGTAGCAGTGGACTTCAGTTTTCATTAAATCTCTCAAAAAGAATTTGTTCAAGTGACTGGCCTTGGTTCATCTTCCATGCACCAGAGGGTGAGGGGATCCTCTGAAGAAAGTTCATGCAGGTAACTTGATAAAATGTAACAAACTTGCTGTAGATGCCTTTCTCTTCCTTCATGTCAATGGAGACTGTCTGTCTTATAGTTTACATAAGCTATAGGGACCTTCTTCTGTTCACAGGCATAACTAAGAGGTCAGTTTACAGTTAGAGGTGTACAAAGAGCACTAGCGTGGGATATAAGTGATTTTGGTTTTAATTTTTGGCCAACCACCAAATTGTTATATTGTGCAAAATAATTCATTCAATTCCTTTGGGTGTTAGTTTCTTGAACAGTTTAACTTCATCTTAAGTACCCTATAGCTTACTTGTAACCAAAAATCCTGTGTGGGATATAAGTATATCTTGATTATTATTATTGCTTCTGATTTAAGATTCCCTGGATGAAAAAATTCAGGTTAGAAATTCTCATTTAAGATATCTTTGAGTAAATGATTTTCAAGTATTTAGCATTGTATTATGAGCACTTTTCCTTGGCACTTAATTCATAAAACTAAAAAAAAAAACAAACCAGACATTTTCAATTAAAAAATAGAAATATAATTTTCATCATTGTTATGATTCTTTAAAATAGGTTTAAAATTTTGATGCATGTGAATTTGAAAGGCTTTTGTGAAACTAATCAAACAGCCTTCTAAGAAAAGATTTCTTGGCAGGAGTAATAATTTTCCCAGAACCTTTTTTGTGGAGAGATTTCAGTGGAGGCTTTTTTAAGGGTAGGACTCTTTTGGGGGTTTGCAGTGCTCTTGCTATCTTCACGTGCTCATTGCAGTAATATTTGTTGCTTCCTTCTGACAGTTGAATGAGCGTGCGTTCTGCCAGATCCATGCACTGGGCATGGACCCAGTGCCCATCTCCATGAGAGCAGTAGATCATGGCAGGTTTGTTGAGCTCAGTTGAATAAAATGGTACCCAAGTGTTGATATCCACATCGCAAGTAGGGCAGCATGTAATCCAGTAGCCTGTCTCAGACTCATCTTCCTCATCGTCTTCATTGTAGGTGTCAAACTCATCGTCACCATCAAAACTACACGCTTCTGCACTGAAACAAAATTCTTCTGAGTCTTCAAAGGGAGTGGAGTCCCCTGGGTCTTCTGTTGATGTCTGACTATTCGTGAGTGTTTTCTGATCTTCATTCACATCGTCTTCAGCACATTTCAACATATAGAAATAGAAAGCTTCTGAAGTAGCCTGTTTATTGTCTCCTGGTATGCCGAGGAATACAGTTCCATTTCCCATATTGCTCCCAAACCAGATCTTGCTGTGCTTAATATCTGGGGTCCAATCTGGGGTCTCCATCTCGCGAATGTCTATCTTATTGTCCTCCAAAGAGACGATGTTGCATACCATTCTCTTTTGATTTTCAAGCTGATAGCCACCAACAATAACAAATTCATCACTGTTTGTTTGAGTCAGGATTGCACTGGAGACAGAGATTCCTCCTGGCAAGACTGTGCAATTCACAGCTGGGCTACCCAGTGGGAGATCAACCTTTATTCTGTATAGGTTGGCAGGGCGGATGTTATTGGCAAGTGAATGTCCTCCTAAAATATAAATGGTATCATTTCTGGCAATGGAAACATGAAAAGACAGCCCATCCTGAAGTTCTGGAAGTAGGTATGATGTAGAGCACCCAAATTCAAAATCCACCAAGAAAACATGGGGCAGACAGTCAGCTACACTATTCCATTTTTCCGTGGTTCTTTGGGCAGACGGAATGTACGACCGTCCTCCAAAGAGAACACCCATACTTTTCCCTCGACTATATACCACATCAATCGAATGACCGTATCTGGCTTCAGGAACATCTCCCACCAAGTCTTTCTCTGTGCAGCGAAAAGTAACCTTTTTGTTGTTCTTGCCAACAACGGACATGACATAAATCTTATCTGAAAGCTCATTGTTTGGTGTTTTCCCTCCATGGATGATGTACTTCTGCTTTTCAGACTCTACGCCGCTTCTGAATATGCAAGTGGCCGGGTAACGAAGAGGAGGAAGGTAGCAGGAATCCTTAGAGAAAACGACAGGCTTCAGTTTGAGATGGTTATGCTTTACATCAAAGTGGAAAACTCCAGTGGGGCAGGACCTCTTTGGCCAGCCTTTTTGGCCAAAGAAGAAAACTTGCCCATCAAAATTGATTAGTGAGAAGCCTGGTTGAATTAAGGCCATGTTATTACTGACTGTTACCATCTGTAATGACATATTTTCTGATCCTGTGGAGATCTTTTATCTGAAAGAATTAAAAAAAAATGACATATATCTCGTCAAACAAATCACTATGTTTGGATCACCTCACATGTTAAGCTTGTTAAAAAAAATTTTTTTTTTTTTTTCTTCCACAAGCTTATAGTGGGACTAGCAAAACCCGGGCAGCTAGAAGCACAGAGCCACAGAACCTCCCTTCCTAATAGAATCCAAGCAACTGGGACATGTTTTAGACATGGACTATTCTCCCTTAGATTTCTGGGAATTGTAGTCCTTTCCCGCCCCCCCATCACAATTCACCGCTTGTTGGCAGAAAGAACTACATTTCCCAGGAATCCGTTCTCCTTGGGCTACGTAGCTACGATTGTTTTTGTTGCTACAGGAGAGGAGACTCCTAGGATGCCTCTCTGAATAAAGACGCTCAAAGTGCGAAGTGACTAGATGGGAGCCAAAGCGGAAAACTAGGGAATGGGAGGTGAGAGTGGCCGACGCACACCCAACATCCGGGTTCCCGGAAGGCCGCAACCCCAGGCGGGGCGTCAGGCAGCCCGCTGCCGGGCGTTGCCGGTTCCTCTCCCGGGACTCTTAAGCGGGTGACCCAGTAGGAGGCACAACAGCTTCTGGCTCCAGTGGGGTTGCCTGGAAACCGCAACCTGAAGGGACGCCCCGGCCGAGGCGTCTTTCAGACTCCTCCCGCCGGGACGCTTTGGGGGGCTGGACTCAGTTGCGCCTCTGAGTGTCCCTATGTTGCTGGGACGGGGGGTGGGGGAGGGCGTGGGACGAGGGGGACACGAAGGTCACAAAAGTTGTGACTGTTTGACTATTTTACGGAAGCCAGGGATCAGCCTGTGAATACCTGGAGTGCAGGGTAGAAATGACCAGATAATGGTTTAGTAATGGAAACACTGTAATTCGATTTTAGCAAGCGTCACGCCTTGCTAAGGCTCCTTGTTTTCCTCAGTCGCTCTTGCTCCGGAGTTTAGGATTCTTTTAGCGAAGCAGAGAAGATTCCTAAACACCTCCCTCCCTCCTCCATTCTCTCTCCTCTTCCCTCTCCACTCTCTCTCTTGGAAAAAAATAGTGGCTGTTATTTCAGATTTCTCTCTCTAGCCCAAGACATTTGAAATAATTCTTTATTTTTTTTTTTTTAATATGACAGAGATCACAAGTAAGCAGAGAGGTAGGCAGAGAGAGAGAGAGGAAGGGAAGCCGACTCCCTGCTGAGCAGAGAGCCCAATGCGGGGCTCGATCCCCCTGGGATCATGACCTGAGCCAAAGGCAGAGGCTTTAACCCACTGAGCCACTCAGGTGCCCCTGAAATAATTCTTAAGTAACTCAGTACTAAGCAGGCGCCAAGCAAAAAGGTGCCAGAATTATTCAGGATTAATACTAGTATTATAGTACTTTTCAAAAGATATTTAGTAGATGAAGTAAACCTGATAAATTTTTATTTTATTACTGTTACTTACCTTTAGAGATTCCAGGAGCTTTAGTAATATGCTCCCTGTTTGCAAAAGTGAAGTCCTAGACAACACAGGTTAGAGGAAACAAAATAGGCTCTCAGTACTGCAGAGTCTGGATTCTGCAAGCTGATGGACTGGATTCAAATCCTGTCTCTCACGACTGACTAACGCTATGAACTTATAATTTTATGTCCCGCTGTCTCAATTTCCTCATCTGTAACATGAGGTAATTACCTACGTCCTTGGTCGGGGTTAGTTATGGTTAGTAAATTAATACATGTAAAGCACTTAGAACAGGGCTTTGCACACTGTCATAGTTTTTATAATTATGCTTTAACTTATCAAAAGTAAGGTTGTTAGTACACAATTACCTGCAGTCACGGCAGATGATATAATGTTGGAGATGGTTAGAATGGAGTTAGGATCTGGGATCTGGTCCGTGGGTTTGGACTGATTAATTTTTTTGACTAATGAGAATTGGATAAGCATATCAGTGGAGGAGCTAGTGGTGAGTTCAATTTAAATAACAGGAAATAATTATTTATTCTTCTGTTACCCTTTCTCTAATCACTCATTAAATAGGCAGACTATGAAGTCGGAGTCCAAATCTGGGCTCTGAAACTTAGTTGCTGTGTAACCATCTTGGGCAAGTTATTTTTCCTCTCTTCTTTCTTTCCTGTAAAATGGGAATCGTATTAGTACCTATTCATTGGATTGTTTTGAAGGATAAACGGGATAACACATGTAAGTCACAAAGTACAGTGCCTGGCATATAATGAGCATTTAATAAATGTTAGTTGACACTGTATTTTTATTCTCCCTGCAAAGATTCCTTGGACCATTTAGAATCTATGGTCAGTCTTAATGACATCTTGGAGGGGGGGTGCTTTTGCCTTGAAGCACTTCTGTAGATCAGATGTAATTAATTGCTAAATGTTCTCTTCTACTTAGTTTACTTAGGAGATTCCTCAAGATGTGATATTTTAATAATCATCTTGTGGGGTTTGTTTTTTTTCATCTTGTGGGTTATTAAACCAAGTGAGGACATGGTAAGTGAGAAGCATTATTACTAAAGTAGCAAAAGCAAGCCTGTCTCTTCTTTAGACCACGGTGGTTTATAGGTTCAGCAACTTGGCCTACTTACAAAATAACATGGGTGTTTTCTTTATTTGGGGCCTATCCAAATATACATAAGAGAAGATTTCTGGGAACTAAGAAAATGCTCTCCATAGGAATTAAAAGGAAATATTGTTAACCCTCAATTCAGTAAATGAAAACCATAAGTGATTACACTTAGCATGATATGTGATGATTGTCAGAGAGTTGTCCATTTGTCAGTGGAGTGAGCATTGAAGCCAAAGCCTGTTTATTTTAAACACCTCTGAAGACTGTTACTGGGATGTAGAGCAAGCCATACAGGAGTAATGCATTCCAGATCCCAAGGGATGAACATACACCAAGAGCACTTGCTTTTAAACAGCGAGGGGTTTTTTTTGTTTTTTAAAGTGTTCATTGTGGCCTATTGGCTTCATTTTAAGGTTGTCATAGGGAATTTGGCTTCTCATAAGTGAAAACATGGTTACTGTAGATTAACAGACACATTTTCTTAGGCAAGGCATAAAAAATACTACCCATTTTTTTGTAGCTTAGTTTGGGTCCCTAAAGATTTCTGACCGTCCTTCTTTTGTTGCCCCACTCTTGGTACACCTCATGATTTAAGGGTCCTAAAAACAGTGGTGAGGCTTATTACTATTAGGATGAATTATTTCCTCTGGTGACACACTTTAAGTATTTGTGCATTTAATTTTTAGAATATCCATTTTAAACCATGACCAGATGACTTAGGTATTTAAAGAGTAAACAGAAATATTGAAACACTGAAAGTGTTTTCATATTATTTTGCCATATTTATTTAGTTTTTCAAATTTGCTTTATTAACTTAAATATGTTTTCACCGGAGTAGACTATTGTATATTTCCCATGGTCTTAATATGACTATATTAATCACATCTTGGTTTTTAAGAGTTTTTGAAAGGTTATACTAGAGCTAAAATAATCTACTTTCTTTAAATAGGCTAGATAAAAAAGGTAGATTTTGAAAAAGAAGATACTGTTCTTCAACTGAAGGAAGTTTCAAAGTCGACACATGAAAGATTCTTTTTAAAAGACAGAAATAGAGGACCAATAAATTTATACAATTTTCCCAACCCCATGCTAACATTCCTCAGCAGGGAGGTTTTCATTTATTCACTGTGAAGCTAGGGCATAGTTGAGAATCAAAAGAGAACTAATGGTGTGAGGTCTGGGTTTGTAGTTTCCTGTGTCTGAACTAACTCTTTTTCCTTCCAAAGAAAGGTACTGTACTCAGAGGCATTAAATCTTACTGATCAGTATTGCCCATGTTTTCCTGATCACTCCAAAATAGCAGGTAACCTCATGTAACTGTAGTCATTCCATCCATGAATTAACACTATCTTGCACAGCTAATCAGGTTCCAGGCATATATTATTTGACTTTTTTTTTTTTTTTTTTTTGCTGGCACTGAAACCAGGATTAGGTCTTTTTTCTGACACTTATGCCAGAGAAACATTTATGTATTAAGATGAGCACATGGGCTCTGATGCCACAGGAATTAAATCCTTGCAGTAGCTTGACACCAGAAAGCCCCATAGTTTCCGAATTTTACAGCATCCCCTCCCGATCTGGACACCCAGTCCCTCTGTGACTAACAGACTGCACAGGGAAGCATCACCTTTCCCTGAAAGTAGACAAACGTGGGTGTCCATCTTTTAGCTTTGGTAGAAATGAAGGTTTTGGACCTACCTGAAGGCCAGAGGGGCTGCTCACCCCTCTCTGAATCTTTGCCGCTAGACCAGGTATTAAATGTCGGCACTTGGGGAAGAGTCACTGACTGCCCACTCTGACTGTGGCAAAGCAGGAGGCTCCCAGTAAAGAGAGTGTGTAAATGCGCCTACAGATGTTCCAGTGAACACTGATCTAACGGGAGTAACTGACTGTGACCTTTTTTTTTCTTGTCTTTAGATGGTTGAGGGAGATATCCACCAGGGTATACTCTCAAGATTTAACTATTTCCTTACTGAGCAACAATAGAAACACAATCCACTATTTGTAAAGGCCAAAAAAAAAAAAAAAAAAATCTGCCTGCAACCTGATTTATCTTTTTAATTAAAAACATTTTAGAAAAAGATATAAAGGAATAAATATAATTGCTGTGACTTAAATAATACTATTAGGAATACAGTGGTAAATTATTTTTCCTAAAGTAGAGACCACTAATACCAATGCCAATCATTTTGTTTTGAACTGCTCTTCAGTAGTCTCGTTTTTTTTTTTTAATTTTTTTTAAATTTATTTGACAGAGATCACAAGTAGGCGGAGAGGCAGGCAGAGAGAGAAGGAAGGAGAAAGCAGGCTCCCTGCTGAGCAGAGAGCCCGATGCAGGGCTCGATCCCAGGACCCTGGGATCATGACCCCAGCCGAAAGCAGAGGCTTTAACCCACTGAGCCACCCAGGCGCCCCAGTCTCATTTTGTTTAATGCAAAGCTCAGAAGTCATTCCAATTATTGGAGGCCTCCTTTGTACAATTTTATACAGGAGCTGCGGTGTAATATTGTACAGCAGAATGATTAAGAGAATGGGCTTTGGAATCAAAGTGATGTGGTTTTCTTTGCCAGCCTGCCATTTGCCTGTGGAGTCATCTTAATCTCAAAGCCTCTGTTTCTCTGTCTCTGAAATGGGGATAATAGAAGTAGTCACCTCAAAAGATTGTTACAAAAAGATTAAGTCAGCTAATGTCTTTAAAGTGCTCAGTGCCCAGTAGCAATGAATGTGAGTTCCTGTTGCTGTACATCCTTGTCAGCATTTGGTGTTGCCAGTGTTCTAGATTCTGGTCATCCTAACAGCTGTGTAGTGGTATCTCATTGTTGTTTTAGTTTGTATTTCCCTGATGATGTATGATGTGGCGCATCTGTTCATGTCCCTTTTTTGTCAT